GTGCTGACAGCGGGCACTTACGGGGCAGTTCGCTGAGCCGGTATTGCCTGGGAAGTGCCAGCAAAGGGACCTCGTCCTGTTCCCCGTTCACATACGCCAGCGCCAATTTGCCGTGGTGGGAGCGAGTGCTGGAATGGTGCAGGGAGGGACTGGACGTAGGCCAGCTGGGGAAGTAGCTGGCGCTGTGTCTCAGCTAGCAGCTCTATCAACAGTTGTTCTGGTTGAATTGCAGACACAATATATCTATGCTCGGCGCGTCACTTCTACGTTCCATTTCTGGCTTGTGCCGCGAGTGCTGCCGCAGATGCATCTCCTCAAAGCAGCTAATTTACGAAAGCTATGGCAATCCGCCCGAGGTATCTTTTTTTCTTCTTTTTTCGCCCCCATTGCTCGGATTCGCAAGGGAGAACGGGGGAGGGGGAATACCCGTGGGCACTGCACATTCACCTTGCTTTTAAACGCCAGTTAGGCTAATAAAAGGAGAAAGTGTTAGTCGCAAGCAACCGAAAAGACGCCCACAAACTGTTCAGTTTTATTTAATTTCTCTTCTTTACTTCCTTTCTCACTTTGTTTATCCCTTCACTTACATCTATTTCTTCCAGTCACCTGTGTTGCAAATTAGACATATGACTATTCGAAACATGGCGGGTAGGAGGAGGCTGTACTAATGATTCCCACTCCTACCCGCATGCACTGTTCGGTTTGTGTATACACAGATAAGGGATGAAACACAGAGACTGCGTCATAAAATGTCTTCAAACACATGACATTCAAGTGAAATTCTTCTGTTCTTCTATTTCAGTAGGATAAAATATACGTCTGGTTTCCCAGCTGTTGCATCTGGCAGCTTTCCAATTGCTTTGTCCAGCCACATTTTCTGGTAGCTAGTTTTCTGGTTGTAAACGTCTTTCTCCCTTCCCCCTCACTCCCCGCTCCTCCTCCCCCGTCCTCCGAACCCCTCCCCTCCTCCCTGAAGGATTTATCGGCTCAGCGATTCGCGGACAGAAGCTTGGGGGAGGGTTCTGGCCTTTTAAAGTATCACTGATATGTACTGAGCATCAACGTTTCATCCGGGCTTCTAGACAGCGAAAAGATATGGGAAAAAACAAATTTCTCTTCTGCAAATTTTGCGCCAATATGTGTGTGTTTTGCAGAGCTGCTTTCGTGCTAGCTGTTTCATTGGGAATCAAAATTTTGCAGATGCTGCAGTTGGCAACGAAAGAATTGGGAAAAGTGGGCGTTGGTGAGGTGCGAGTGCGTTGGATGGGTGCACCAGTTGATCCAGCCGATATCAACCAGGTGCAAGGATTCTATCCCGTACAGCCACCACTGCCCGCCGTTGCTGGAATCGAAGGTTTTGGCGTAATTGAAGAGGTAATTTGTTTTTTCCCCGGGATCAAATATTTCATTTATAAACCATCTTTTGTTGAAGTCTGTCAAATCTTCTACTTTCGCTCCTCACTCACGTCCTCTTCTCCCGCTTCCCATTTTCCCCCCCCCCCCCCCCCCCCC